TGTATAAAATACGTGAAAAAAAATTGCACAAACTTGATCGATACTGCTCTATTATTGGCTATACTACGTCGTTGTAGTCCATTTTGCCGCGTTTGGTTATGCTTTATATGATGTCTGTATACATTAACAATAACCCTGAAGTGTGGTTTCCATTGTAAAAGTCTCTTTCGTAACCGGTTTTGTCCAAAGTACAAAACTTCCTCCTGCCAACTTTCTACAATATATGCAGTATACGAGGACAATGTTTTTTTGTGTGTGTGTGTGACCGTTTCAACAATCCGATCATACAGAAATCAATGGGCACTGCGTCTGGTGACATGACCGCTCTGTCTTTTTATGAAATACCCGTTTCATTCTCCAGATGCTTGTTCGCGGATTCGTAATAAAAAGCAGCACTTTGCTTATCATGGTTGTTGCAGGTCTCGTTCTGGATGGTACTAGTTCCCCAGGCTCATCAATACTTCATTGTTTCCAATCTTCGTTATAAATACAGATCTGAAAACATCTTTATGGTCCGAGTGTACGAGTAATTTGCCTCCACATCCTTCCCAAACGAATGCAAAAAAATTTCAAAATTATCTATGAGGTTTGAGTCCATTTTACTTGACCATATAGATTAATTTAGATATGTGAATAATGTTATGGCATTTCGTTGAATTCTTTATTTGGTATTATACAGCGGACCAATTGTTTAATGTTTGTATATATATCTTTAACACACACACACATATATATATATATACAATAACAAAATTAATTCTGATACATTCCATTCCACCGTAACTATACAACAGCTGTGGTTGTCATGTGGCATGCGGGTTTAATCATTGAGCATTATTTTAGTATAATGTATTCAACCATCTGTTATTTGCTTTATTCTGTTTAATAGTATTTAGCATACCTATTTTATAATAGATTCGTCCAAGGTTGCATCATTTTATCTTGATAAGTAAAGATAAACAAGTATTCTTTCAAAATTATGTTAAGCGAAAATTATTTACTATTTATTTATTTCAAGATTATGCTCATCACATTATTATAACCAATAAAAGTGTAGATTAACTGAGCAACCAGTTTCAAAACGTTTACATAATTTATTCGTCAAAATTAAGATAGAGGATTAAATCTTACAGCTACACATTGTTTAGATGTTTCCATTTTGATCATTTTAAAAATAAATCTTTAAGAGGAAGTCATCACAAATGTACTGACACCAGTCAGGTACTATGGCAGAGAAGAATGTAAAGTTTTATCTCTAAGAAGGGAACTAGTTTTCCCAAAGGTAAACAGGAATATAATGTACACTGCGCTAGTAACCATGAAGTCGTTTTCTCCAGAAAGTTTTCATAAATCTATTTTACCTTGAAGAATGGGATGTTCTATATGTTAAACAATTGTATCATTGTGTATACATTCACAGCATAGCAATATTTCTGTATTCTTCCTTCCCTACGGTCTTTTGGGTACCAATCCCATTCTAGACAAAATATTCCTGAAAAGTACGAACCTCACTCTATCCTACCCCAAATATTATCTCACTTAAGCCTTTCCAATACATTTTTATCGGGACTATTTTTCTGTCATGAAAGTTTCTCGTTCTCCCATATGAAAACAAAAACATAATTTACACTGTGTTAGTGTGAGTTGCGTGGTAGCTACAATATAGAAACTAGTACCTCAACGGGCAGCCTAGTAGTCCTTCTGGAACACAGACAATCTAATACATCATATGGACAGTCTAGTAGCTCGTATGTAATACAGACACTTTAGTACCTCATACGGAGCGTCTAGTAGTTCGTATGGAATACAGACAATCTAATACCTCATATGGACAGTCTAGTAGTTCATAAGTAGTACAGACATTTTAGTACCTCATATGGACCGTCTAGTAGTTCGTATGTAATACAGACACTTTAGTACCTCATATGGACCGTCTAGTAGTTCGTATGTAATACAGACACTTTAGTACCTCATATGGACAGTCTGGTAGTTCGTATGTAATACAGACAATCTAATACCTCTATGGACAGTCTAGTAGTTCGTATGTAGTACAGACACTTTAGTACCTCATATGGACAGTCTGGTAGTTCGTATGGAATACAGACAATCTAATACCTCATATGGACAGTCTAGTAGTTCGTATGTAATACAGACACTTTAGTGCCTCATATGGACAGTCTAGTAGTTCGTATGGAATACAGACGCTTTAGTACCTCATATGAACTGTCTAGTAGCTCGTATGTAATACAAACACTTTAGTACCTCATATGGACAGTCTGGTAGTTCGTGTGTAATACAGACACTTTAGTACCTCATATGGACAGTCTGGTAGTTCGTATGGAATACAGACAATCTAATACCTCATATGGACAGTCTAGTAGTTCGGATGTAGTACAGACACTTTAGTACCTCATATGGACAGTCTGGTAATTCGTATGTAATACAGACACTTTAGACCTCAGTTTGGTAGTTCGTATGTAATACAGACGATTTAGTACCTCATATGAACTGTCTAGTAGCTCGTATGTAATACAGACACTTTAG